TCCCTCCTCGGCTCTCCGTGGGGCCGGGGGCGAGGGGGCGGGCCAGCTGGGGACGGGGCGTCGCTGGCGGAGGGGCTCTGCGCCCTTGGGTGCTCCCTGCTTGTTCCCGTCTGGGAGCTGGGCGCAGCAAGCTGCCCTGAGGTGGTCGCTCCAGGGGGCACTTGCAGCTCCCAAGGCAAAACCGCACTGCCCAGCCCAGCCCAGCCCAGCTCTGCCCACTCAGATTCTTTGGGGGGTTTCTAAAAAACGAATTTGTTTTGTCTTTTTCTTTTTTTTCTTTTTTTGCCCTTCACAACTTCTGCCCAGCAGAGTAACCAGGTTCATGTCTTCATGGTCTGCTTGAGCTGGTCTCGCAGGCTAAAACAATGCTGCAGTGTCTGGGTTAGGAGAACAAGGGGGTGTTCATTGGATTAAACAATGGCACAAGCTTTGCTCCAAGTCTTGTGCAAGTAGACTTAGCCAAGCTGCCTTCTGGAGCCAAGGTTGATCGGTGTCACTTTCACGCCAGAACCGGGGGGTCTTTCCATTTTGAAAGCATGCTTCTGACACATTACTGTATTCATGCTAAGTTTTGCGTGAACCCATAGAGAAAACCCAAGCATGCATGGAAGAAATCTTCCCAACACTTCCTCATAACAACAGGGGAAAATTTTTCAGATTGTTGGCAGGTACCATGTGAAACATCGCATCTTGCCCATACGCTGTAACTTATTTCTCTGTTGGTATAGTGCCTGCAAGTGCAGATGGAAGTTGCCAGTATTAGTCATGTTCTGTCCTACAAATAAAAACACGTGGAAGATTTCCAAATTGTTGAATCTGTTTGAGATAATGGCAAACTATTCTTATATGTGTTCTTAAATCTAACTTGTAACTGCATCTGATTAAAGTTAAGTGTAAAGTTAAGCTGGTTTTTGATAGAAGCATGGAACTTTTCAAGTCCATGTTATGAGAGTGGAGGTAACTGGGAAAAACCTTATTACATCTGTCCTCTGCATCCTGTAAGACCTTGGTAATGCATTTTCACTTCACTCACTAGTTACTGTAGAGCAAAAGAATTTATCTGGATTCTCTCCTGGCTTGTGCATCAACAACAGAGCTGTTCAGCTGAAATCAGATGGGTAGAGTCTTTGGATCCAAGATCCAGAGAAAATTATTTGCTTGATTTCTGGCGTGCAGGCTGAATTTGCAAGACTGGTTTGGAGGATACTTGCTCAGGTTGTAAGTTATGTTTCTAAATCTGAAACTTTGCATTGGCCATGGAACCTTGCTATAACACACCTGTTCGCTTTGTTACTAACTAGAGTGGTTTAGTTTGGACGTTGCTGAAGAAATGGTCCCGCATCTTGCTAAAATAACATCTGTTGCATGATATCGTGTAACGGAATGTAGTACAGTCTAATTTGAATTGATTTGAAATTTTGCCATAGCACTGTGCAATGCCTGAAAGCTTTTTTCAGTGATGGATGAACTGGCAAGGATAATAAGATACTGGGAAAGATGAATTTACAGTCAGGAGTGGTTGCTGTGAACTGCAAAGGATTAAGTAGTTCAACTCTGAGCTCGCTTGTTACGCAGTTTGATTTGGATTTCTTTAATCAGATGGCAGCTAATCTAACAGCTGAGTTCTATGTACATTTGAAAGTTCATCTACAGTTAGAATACAACTACAATTGCAGTGATCTTCATTATAGTCTATACAAGCTGGTTATTTTTTTCTGGCTGTAGAATTGGAATAACAACTTGAACAGTGCAAAACTTAACATGGTGACTTAACATTTCTCCTTATTTTTCCTTCCCTGTATGGTTCTGTTTCTGGAGGGGCCCTGACTCATTGAAACAGGGAAGTCAGGGCATCCAAAACTGGACTGTAATTTTCAGAGATTTTTCTACATAATGCATACCTGTAGCTCTTACTTGCAAATGTGAGGGCTGGTCAGCTTCCAGTGCCAGGACTGAATTACTCAAGCGCTAGATATGTGTGCAGATATTCACCTCTGTTGCAATCGCATTGTACTGTTTGGCAGTTGTCACAGTAGGAATGTTACTAGAGAGTTCATGAATGTGGACGGTGCCATTTGCTGGTACATCATTCCAGTCTATATTGCCAGGATAATACGACTTCATGCAGTTTCTAAAGTAGTAGTAGTCAGATCAGACTTGGGAATTCCAGTTAAGTCTAAGCTTCTCTGTTTCTTTCATATGCAAAAATGGTCATAACTGGGGAAAGATAGGGGAGATTTGTACCTTTTTATAGACCAGAGGTCCTCAAGCCCTGGCCTGTGGGCTACATCTGGCTCAGGGTGCCATGTTGTCTGAACTGTGGGGCTCTGGAAATGTGGCAGCAGGGAAGTGGCAATTAATGCTGTGACTGCTCCCCTGCTACCAAATTTCTGGTCCTGTGGGAAGCCCCACGGGCCCAATAACGTGGCTGTACGTGCCAGATTGCGCCACCACACAGCAGGATCCAGGTATGCGAGCTCACATTCATGGACCTACCCAATGTGGGGTCCAGCCTGCAGACTGACCCCTTTTCCATTCATCTGGTCTGGAGGCCCAAAAGGTTGGGCACCACTTATAGACCTATTCAGAAAAACAAAAGATTTTGTAAGTAACAGCTTCATTAGATGCTATGAGAGAACTTGACTTGTCAGAGGGCATATATGAAAGGGCAAGTACTTTCATAGCATCTGAGGAAGTAAGGTATTGCTTACAAAACCTTATGTGTTTCTGAATTAGTCTGTACAATGCAACTCTGCCATGCCTTCTGTCTGTCTTCAGACTAACAAAGCTAGCTGCCTCTCAGTGTTGCTGGTAACTAGGAAAGGTAGAGAGGCAACTTCTGAACATAAGAGGCTTGCTTCAAGGTCACCATGAGCCTGTGCGAGGTTTGGTTGGCTTATTTTGTCATTAGTCCTTCCTTGTTCTTTTTAGAGACAATTGGATGCTGATATAGTAAGAATTAGGAAACAAAATGGTTAAGTGTTCTTGTGAAGGATGTGGGAGCTCCTGGTAATGCTTTGAGAATATTATATGTTCCATCTGTTTGGTGGGTTGTTGGATTATACAGTCTTAATTCAAGCAGGGTTCACTTGCTTGTAGCTTGAAAGAGGACAACAGCTCCAGATAGTCTCGTTGGCTGGTACTTGTAGGACAGTGGAGATGTCAGTTGCTTTTGAAGTTTATCTCTGCAGTGCTGAGTTCAGAGGTTTGTCTGGGACCTGTGGGGGTGGGGAGGGGAAAATCCATGCGAGAGAAACCAAGAATTTTGGGGACAATAAAGATGGTCTGTGGGGGACAGTGCAGAAAGGAAGGCATAACTTGCTGGGGAGTGGACTGAAACCCCTGCCTACATGTTAGTCTATGTCATTGGATCGATGTGAGCACAAATCTTGCGTTGTGTTCATGCCCGTTTCCTACTTTGTTCCTACTCTTGGGGGGGGGCGTGTTCATAATCTTCCAGGACAGGTGAAGGTAAGAGGCTTTTCAGCTGAGGATGTACACTCAGACCAAAAGAGGGGGCAGAGCTGCGGCAGGCCCCAAATCTACTTCCTACTTCAAGTGTGAAGGTTTTGGTGCTTAAAATAAAACTGTTAAACCTGCCAGCCTTGTTTCATGGCATTGTCAGCAAAGCATTTCTCTGGGTTGGGTGTGGGCACACACACATTTATCTTGCAGTTGAGTTTAAATTAGTCTGAGTTTTCAAAGCCCAGCTGATAAGGTTCAGTGTTTTCCAGTTAAGAACTCCTTAGTCGGGATTCTGTCCCCAGAGATGCACCCCCGCAGTTCCCAGAGTTCTGGTGCCTCCTTACTGATATATCCCAATAGCACTAAAAAGCTGAATGGCTGAATTTGCAAGGCAATAGTTAATATGCAATATAAAATCATGCCTTAACAGCTCATTAAGATAAAGCTGTGTTACTTTCTCAGCATTAGTCTATTTATGTGGTAATAAGCAACAGCTGAGTTTCTGCTAAGCTCAGGTTGGTACTTGAAAGAACTTTCCCATATTCCTTGCATTCTCACTGAGTCTATTTTCTTTCTGTGTTTAAGCACTAGGAAAAAAAAGTGTCAGAACACAGTTAATCAAAACTGTGTCTTACGTTGTCATATTTTTTAGCTTGGTAAAGTAGAGGCCACTTATTCTCATACAAAGATGTCTTCTCATCTGGAAAGAGACAGGGAAATGTTCACACTTAAATCATATTAAGAACAATTAATTAAAAAAATAATGGTAGTGTAGGAGGTATTTAACTTCTTGGCCAATGACAGAACAACTTCATTTTTTTTATCCGTCTTGATCTGGGTGCACCTTCATGCAACATGTCATTAGGTGCTAAGTGGTTTGTTAAAAGGATTGTGATAACGGGGTGAACCCCACTTATACTGTAGAATAGACTCACACTTAGAAAGGCCTCAGTGACATTTATCAAACTTCTTTTTAAGATAGTTTCATTTGATTGCCTGTAATTTTGTCCCTTTGCCTCGGGAGTTCATAACCTTTATGTAATAAATCACACATTGTTTTTCCCCCCCTCCTCTTTGAGCCTACTTTTAGCCTAGCTATATCTGTTGCATCTGTCTTGCATCAAGGTTGTTGGGGAAAAATCTGTCCTTTCAAAAATTTTACATTATAAGGCATTTTCCTATTTTGATACTTACTTATTTCATGTAATTTTTGAGTGCTAGCTGAGCATAAAATAGATGTGAGAACTCTTTGATAGTAAAAAATTAGGCTTCAGCTTGAATTCATGTGGATGAGAACTTTAATTAGTCATCAAGGTATCGATGGCAAGACTGTCTTACAGCAGTGTGAGAACTACTGCAAGTAGCTGACATGCGAAACAGCCAGCTTAGCTATAGGCATATTATGGTTGTGTGCCAAAAGACAGATAATGGGAAACAGTAGGTAGCAGCTGGCCTAGAGAGAAGGGAAAAACAAGAGAGTTGGATTAAAAGGATGAAACAGCAGCACTTTCAAATACTTGACAACTAGGCATGGAGGAACTTGATTCACTAAGCAAGGTTTATGTCCTAGTGGAAAGCTTGGCTTACCAGTATAGCAAAAATGGGTCGGTATATAGAGCCGTCTCTTAGGAAAAGGAAAATGTGGTACTGTCTAATTAGTGGGGAAAGAGGCATGAAAGGTCTGAGAGGTGTCGAAATATTGTGACTGTACGTGTAATCAAAGCACAGCTACTAACATGTTTTTAAATGAAACCAAGAAGCAGAGTTAATAATAGCAATTTAAGTTACAACCTTGAAGTATTACACCTGTGTAATTTTTTGAGTAAAAAATTTCCTAGTCAGTCCCAAGGAAGGAGTTGCTGAGACTTGCTCCAGCCTGATGCAAATGTCCAATTAGTAGAGGGCAGCCATACTATGTAAGGAAAGGATAAAAAGGCAGCCAGCAGTGCAGAACAAGGATGCAGGGTCAAGCTGAAGGAACCCAAGAGCAATGACAAACTAATGGATAGTGCAGACATTGTGACCCAATTTGTGCTATGGAAAGTACTGCTAAGGGCAGGAAGAGGAAAATGCTCAAAGGCAGAAGGTATGGAAATAGAACTGTTCTGTTTTGATGCCTAAGTATTTATTCCCTGGGGACAGTATCTGTGAAGCCTTCCAAAGATTTCAACCCACATTCATCTGAAGGCAGGTGTATGGACCATTCACCTGTCATCTGCAATTCCATCTGGGAGACTACAGTCAGCTTGATGCCAGCTGGGTTGGTAAAAGCTGCTGTACTGCACTGCAGGAATGTGGAAAGCAGAAGTCTCTGTTATGTACCAGAAGATCATATGAAAGCTGGTGAACAAATGGAAGTAGATTAAAACTGAAAAATGGAGACTCTCTTCACCTTTTAATTAGTAAAACTTCAGTCTAAATCCAAAGATCAGTACAGAGGCGGGATATTAAAATAAGAAAGAAAAATTAGAGAGGAAGTAATGTGAATGTGGATGCTTTGGAGGCCAAGTTTAAATTAAAGATGACACCCCCCAAGATGCCGCCCACAAGATCAGAAAAGATTAACTTTTGTCAGGTCTCAGGAGCCACTGAAGCAAACAACCAGGTGTAAGTAGCTTTGTTGCAGCTTTCATAATGTGTGCGGGGAGTGCCAGCAGCATAGTAGTGATACTAACCCAGTTAGTTTTCATCAGCAGCACTGCTTAACAACACACTGAAGAAAAGCTAAAGATCTGAGTACTGGAGTGTAAGAG